ATTCGCCAAGGTAATTATAAACAATTCAGGGTGATTATGAAGCAAAGTTATAGAACAGGAAACAGGGAAGAGAATGAGGTGACGGAACGGTAAGTTTAAAAAAACCAAAGGGGCCAATAAAAGTTTGGGGGGTCAGGTGCTAGAAGTGACTATCCGTCACGTCTGCTTTAATAGCACTGACTTCTGCATAAGGATTTTACAAGAAAGACTTTTGCACAGTTGGTTGTTACAGAGCAACGACTAAGATCCGTAGTTAGGCATTCATTATTAGTCTGGGAAGTTTTCTCGGCATACGGGCGCAACTAAGACAAAAAGAGCCAGACAATGAAGAAGACAGCAATCGCCATAAAGAGTTTGGACATGGTCTCCGCCTCTTCGGCAGCGTTGTTGCCGTTGACGTTGTCATCACCGGAGACAGCTGCGCCGCCGCCTACGTTAAATGTCGTAGTGAAAAGGCCAAATGGGAAAGCGCCGACGCCGACAGACATGTGGAAGTTGCCGTGGCCTCCTGCGCCTCCCCCTCCTCCACCACCACCACCGAAGAGGTTTCCAAGGCCCTCAAATGGCGACTGTTGAGGAAACGGAGGAAAAATCGTGATTAGGTATACATCTGGTGGCCATGAATAATAGAAAGATACGTGGCAAGGATGTAGTGACCTAAAATTTGGCTTGGTTTGCTGTAAAAGGGAGAATAACCCATGTTTTCTACCGGCTGTAAGGGCACAATTCTTGTTTTTTTTCGCGAGAAATTCAAGTTACAGCAACCAAGGATCTCTCGGGTCAAGCGTTTCGGTCTACTCAGAGCATATGGCATGCAGTTTGTGATTAACAGTAGGGAAGAAACCGTTTTAGGAGAAAACGTTGCAGGCGAATTATGCCCTAACAACGTGCGGACATTTAAGCAGGCGACAGACATTAGCAACATGACAGTGTCTCAAGAGCAATCAGTTAAAGCGAGGGCAGTGAATATGACAACGCAAAGACATTAATAGAAACCAAGCATGCACGAAATCCGAGCGTCGCGTTAGTAATTAACTGAGCGCCGCCAGGAATCAGCGGCGACGAGCCGTTAACACGCGCATATATTGAGAGGTCACCTGCCAGTTCCACTTCGCACTGCATCGCAAAATAATAAAACCTGGAACTACTGACAGTTAACGGCGGGAGAAAAGATTAACAAAAAAGTCAGAGCGTCACGGAGAGAGAAAAGTTGGGTCAGTAACCTGGCCAGGAAACGTAACTGCAAACAGCGGATCATAGTTCTTTCTCCTTAACAAATGCATGCCCGAAATCGATTTACAATGTTTGCAAAAATCAAAGCATGGGGGCCAAAAGGATGCAAGCCGAAATTTGTGCTAGCATCCAGTTTTCACAAAAATAGCCCAATTTTCTGTCACGACAGACGAAATAGAAAAGTGTAAGGACCGCAACAAGAAAAGCAAATATGCCTTGAAACAGGAAGTCAACTAACACGGCTGCCCTGTTGAGGTTCTGTTCTCTGTCCCGGAGGCCTTGGTGGGATTTTGGATCTTGGGTCTGTTTTGTGGTCTCCTCCTCGACCATATAGCGGTATCACCTAGCAAGAGATAGGGCAAGGGAGCAAAACATGCCTTTCAGTCAGGTTTGAGAAAATGGCGTGCCTTGTACCAAGGTTGCGCATGATCGAGTGTCCTTATTAAATCAGCGAGGCTTCGTAGCTCAAGTGGTTCGAGCGTTGGATGTTCTAAATCCTTCTCCTTACTGCGTGGGCTCCAATCCCACCGAGACGCCGAGTTTTTCACAGTTGGGTCAATAGGAATTATTCCAGAATTTGCCAAAATACTTATGAAGTAATACCTTACGTTATGCGGCCTTGGTGATCGCGGTCTGTGTAAGTAAAGTAACAAAAAACCCCGAAAACATTTTAAAACTCGCTAAGACGCAACCGGTTAGTGTGTTTAGCTTACTTTCTTACTATTGCATTAACGAAGTTTGCTTAGTAATGCGTGCGTTTCATTTAGAGCATGTGGCTTGGAAACGAACTGGAATGGGCAGTTCTGAGTTAGTCAACGAACTTAGAAGGAGTAACATTGACGCTAATTTCCGTGCAGACATTTGAACTGAATATTGTCGACCGCAGTAGGAGACCGCATGGCGTGCTCAACTCTGCAAGCCTATTTATTGCACACAGAAAATTCACATGAGGGTGGCGTTTACCAATCTGCCCTAACTGAAGAAAGAACATTTGAATTCTATTTTGCATTGGAGTTACGGGGTCTAGAGTTCGTTCAGGATGTCGCGTGGTTACGAGCAAGTCGCTAAATGACAATATTGACGGTCAAAATTAATGACACTGGAATGACCAGTTTTGGCATGTTAACCGCTACAAACCTGCAGGACTTCTGATGCTGCCATTAATTCCTTGATTCAAACCAGGATTTAGTGAGTTGATGAGTACCTTAACTCCAAAGTTCCATCTGTTTAAACTACCGGGTTCGCCGTACGTCGGTTGAGATCGCGAGAGCGTGGATGCTCAACAACCCACTAAACTCGGATTAAAACAGCGAGTGCGACCACTGAGGCCCAACAAGGCAGAAATGAACCCTCCAGTGCTCCTCATCTCCATAATATTTGCCAAAAGGAGAAAACTGTTCGCATGATTTTAGCAGAGGCACAACAGTTACATCGAAACGATGGCTGGGGAACGACAGATTAGGCTCCTGAAACTGTCCTTTATGTTATTTCGATTTTGCAAACCGAAAGTGGTAATCGTCATTTACTAGTGGGAACTCACATAGGGGACGCTGGGAAACCCAGTAAAGAGCAGGAACTCCCATCCATGCATCAGGCAGCAGCAGAAACACAACGAAACACGTTCTTTGGGTTTGGACTGGTCCTTGGTTTGAGACTAAAATCAAGCAATTTTACGCCCACAGAGTGGCATGTTAGCCACGCTTGACTGTGATTCGTGTGTGCCACTTAGTGTCTCATTGTCTGGGGTCGAACCCGTTTTATCTAGGACGGGACGCTAACAGTTTGACGTAGGCTAACTTCTTTGTGTGAGTATTGGTTTACCATTTCACTTATTTCATGCTTAACTGCTACTAGCACCTGAAGAAGCAAAATTGTTGCTGCTGAACTGAGCCGCCTAAAATGTATTACACGGTGCGACCCCGATGGGTCCCAGATTTGGATTTTTTGCGCGCCAAACGTGATAAACTAGTGTCCAGTCTGGAAAGAGGGTAGTGTATTACAGCCAGATGGAAATTACTGTTGGCAAGAGATAATAAACGCGTTAAGTATGTGCGGATACGTGTTACACTCACGCTGTCCCTACTGATGGCCGCCTTGCAGACGGGACAACTGGGCCGGGACTTGACTGTCTCAAACCACTGATGAAGACAGGGCCAACAGAAGAGGTGGCCGCACCGACTAACAACAGCATCCTTGGCGGACTCCAGGCAAATGTTGCACTCAAAACTGCCGGTTGTGCCAGAAGTCGAGGAGGAGGGAACCTCATTGCCTTCAGGTGGGCACTGGCTGGAACTGGGTTCGCCGGGCTCACTCTTGCCACGATCCCTCGAGCTCTCGGACATGCGGGCTTTGCAGTATGTACTAAGGCAGGGAAATCATGAATGGAACAGTGAAGGAAACGACATAGTAAGCAGGCACATAGCAAGGAAAGGCCCAGGTAAGATTCTCGACTTCACATTTTGAAGACATGTGGAGAGGGCCACAGCGGATTCGGACTACACTGAACAATCATGAATCGGAAGAAAAGACAAAAAAATGCTTTGAAGGTAAATAGGTATAAGTTTGCTCAAGGTCTCTTGCAAGTGACTTAGAGTAACTATCGAGATATCCACTTCAGGCTCAGGCTCGCTATCACCGAAGCTTGGCAACACGGCCCAAACTACGGCAGACTACCGAAGGATAGAACATGACGGCAAGTTGTCCATGGAAAGAACTGCAAAGTGCACTGTAGAATTATAAGTCTACAGGAAGATGCCATCTCCAGTCATTCAGGGCAGGGATCGCGTTTAATTCTGAGTTCTAATCACGAAAGCCGTGACAAAGAAAGATGCCGAAGAAGAAAATTCAAACAAAACCGGGGGGGGGCGAACTAAGTACGCGTGATTGCAGGACTCCACAAAAAACGGCTTTGTAGTCGAAATAACGAAGCGAGTTCAACGCGGAGAAGCATGTCATTACTGCTACTCAATGCCTCGCATGCACCTCATCAACCTCCTGTTACCTAACACTGTTTTTATCGCTGGACAACCGCCGCCCGGGATCAGCCTAAAATCTCCCGTCAGTTAGTATCGTTCCATTCGCTCTATAGCAGTGGTCCTGCGTCAACCCGGAAGGAATCTGGCTACCAGATGATTTGATTTACCTACCATCATGAACACAGCGGGTTCAACTGTATCTTGCAGAATAAAATGATTCCTTTGTAAACCGCATGCTGATGTGCGGTAATCCGCGCCGAGCGGCACAACAAATTTACAGAGACAGAATGTTAAAGTAAATCAAAACCGAGCTAACACTCCCTGACAGTCATGATAGCCGTCTGGGGGTAGCGTCAACTACGATTGCCAGAAAGGTGGCGAATCGACCACGACAGACAACTATAGCCGGGCACTCGAGAAAGAGAGAGAGAGAGAGAGAGAGAGAGAGAGAGAGAGAGAGAGCACTTCACTTGCCTAACAGTGTCAGACCACACGCTCTACCTGTTACGGTCTAGAAGCTGGACCAACTAGGTTGTTAAGCTCTGGCCCGTCTACTGCACTCGAGAGATCCGTCGCCTACGGAGCCATCGCCTTACTAAGAGTCCGAGAAAAAATTCTAGTAAATGAAATTCATCTAATTCAGATCTCCAAAATCCACCGAAAGTGACACGAAGTTCTGGGACGTTGGCAGAAGTACTGATGCCTTTGGTGCACTTTTGGATTATTAAATTTCCTTTCAACAAGGTTGTGCTGGTTAACAGCTAACCGTCAAAGTCAGCCAGTAGGTGTGCCGCAGTCAAATATATTGACAGCCGCAGTTGGTCTTTCCACGCTCGCGGATTTGTGCTCGCGCCAAGCACATCGATGCACATGGTGGTTAATTCTGCATCGTCCTCCCGTAATGGCAACCGGTTCTCACCTGTGGCTTCAACAAACTGTACTCAGTATAGCACCCACCTTCCAAAAGCCGATTTCACTAAAAGGCTAAAGTGGATGGGGACAGTCTGTATATCTCCATCCCCGATGAATTTACTTGTGTGTAGTCTGGTTTGCGTAGTAGGGAGCAAATAAAAGCGTTGTGGCAGGCATTGAGAAGTTTAACATCGAGAAAACCACTGCACCCAGTTACATTGCCAGGTGAGCTGGATATGAACTAAAAATAGGAATGAGTATAGGTAGTGAGGTCTATTCTACGCAAGTCATCCACCCCCTTTCATCAACATGGACGCTAATTTCGCGCAGAGGGTTACATCCAATTCCTCAAGGCGGTTTAGACTCATTCGCGACGCTCCTACCCCCCACACGCACATACCAGTCAGAGCGACCTTGCTCCCTGAGAGTTCAAAATGTTCATTCTGTTTAAGGTGACCTAATAGGAAGTGGACCGTTAACTGGGTGGACACGAGGTGGACATTGCGACTCTAAGCAAAAGCCGCTTAGCAGAATAGGAGTAGCTAAGTGAAGCAGATTAGGGGGATGCCATCTGAAGCGGTCACCAAGTCAGTCTGTGGTCTCCAACCCACTGTAACCACGTCGCAGATCAGCTAAGAGGACACAGGAATACTGTTGGGGAAGACGGGCTGGGCTAAACGCTTTAGGGACGTCCACAGAAGCTCACCTGCAATCAGTTAGGCAGCCACAGACTGACTGCCCCAAGAGGCAGGGGGGCGGCCATGATCGTCCGTCACCCACTGCAGGGGGCAGTCAGCGTGGCGCTGCAGATGCCCAGCAGAAATGCCCTTGCGCCGACCGAATCCCAGCAGAGGTATACAAACACGGTGGACTTGACTCCTGAACAGAATGACATCACTGCTTCAGGAGATGTAGGGACTTCGAAAATACCACAAGACTTCAGGGGTGCCACCGCTGCCCACCTGTATAAACGAGGAGGAAGCCATCAGGTCTGTAGCGATCACCTCCGAATCTGCCTATTTACGGCATTGCAGGAAAGATATTTGACTGCGTTCTCCTCATTAGTCTGAATACAAACTTAGATCAAGACTTCCCTCGATAAGCATAATGCAGATTCCGGAAGCAATGTGAAATCACAGACGTGGTCCATGATCCCAAGAAGCTTCAAAAAGACAAATAAAAGGGGATTCGTATCTACAGCACCTTTGGCAACGCAACAAAAATGGAAGACAGAATTATGACGACAGATATCCTAGCACCCACTATAAGCGGAAAGAAACTAGGAAACTTGGAAAAGCATCAGTGACGCCATTAAAGTGTTACCATGCCCACACTGATGGGCCACCTGCGAATACATCACAGTGCGACTAGGAGATGGGTGCTTAGAGCCCCGGCCGACCCCAGAATGTCCGCTCCACCCGTCAACACTGTCCTAGCCCATTCGGACGTCACAATGAGCTAGTTGGTCATATGCGTAGAGGTCAAAAAACAACGAGGCATCACATGATAATTCAACCAACGTTGCCAACGATGTCCACGGTATACTCTACATCAGGGTGAAGCAGGCCCGGTGACTTGCGCGT